GCACAGGAAGTTCCGTCTGAACATGAGGAAGAACTTCTTCCCTCTGAGGGTGACGGAGCACTGGAACAGGCTGCCCAGGGAGGTTGTGGAGTCTCCTTCTCTGGAGATGTTCAAGACCCGCCTGGACGGGGTCCTGTGCAGCCTGCTGTAGGTGACCCTGCTTCGGCAGGAGGGTTGGACTAGATGACCCACAGAGGTCCCTTCCAACCCCTACCATTCTGTGATTCTGTGATTACGTGGCAGAAAGCAAGCTCAGGTGTGGGTAGCGTTGCTCTAACCTGTTGAAACTCCGAGACTGTAAATGGTGTATGTTTTGCTTCCCTTCAGTCAACACATTGCTTTTTCTCTGCACAGTCTAACTTGACTATTCCTTTCCTAAATAAATGCTGTTGTCTGTCTTTCAAAAACCCTCCTGGCCACCGCAAAACCTGACCCAAGACAGCAGGCTAGTACTGGTGACTTAAAAACTATCTGCAGGCTGCCACGCTCTGCGTGTTAGACATGGCACTAGGCAGATGAGGACTGCTGTTTTCATTTTTCAAAGGCACTTTAGGGAAACTGCTGTCTAGTTCTCACTGAATATTGTTGGCGTGTGAATTTTTAACAGATATACACAAACACTTTGCAGTAAAAGCCTATGATTAACACTGTGTTGTCCTATTCTAGATTTATTTGCACAGGAAAAGGTGTAGTATAGTTTGCTGTTGACAGGGCAGAGTAAGTAACAGGTTTCGTGTCGAGATGGAGCTTCAGGGCAGTTTGAGTTGGTGAGGTGGTCGCTTTGGCTGTGAAAGTGCACTTTTCAGACAGTGCGCTTTGGTATTGTTTAAGTCTGTGCTGATGTAACAGTAACAGTTCTGTGGGGAGAAAGTGGGGCAGCAATGGTAAGTCTGTCTTTAACTTCACCGTTCTCATTTCCAGGGAAGCACCACTGCCCTCTGTGCCACAGGCCTTCGGAATCTTGGGAATACATGTTTCATGAACGCAATCCTGCAGTCGCTTAGGTACCTCCGAGGCTTTCCCTGCACCTCTCTGCGAGTGGCTGTGTGCTGCAGCCTTAGGCAAGGGAATTTGGCAAGCTACCGCTGTACGGAAGGGACCCTGGGTTTACAGGAGTGGGTGTCTGCGAGTGTCGTAAGGTTATGTTCCACAGTGTGAGGGACTCCCTGCAACACAGCACTCGGAGGAAGCCCACCGCATCCTCACCGGAGAGGGAGAATGCCCGGTCATTGCCAAGGGTGTTGAAAGGCGTTGGTGCTTGTGGCTGCTGTGAAAGCAGAGACAGCGCTTTGAGGGATGGGGTCTGGTGGAAGCGGGTAGGACAACAGCTTCTGCAGCGCCGAGATGTTAGACCTCGTTTCATGGCTGCCAAGACCACCACTGCCCTTTAATTACCCTTTTGGGTTTCTGAATTTGCCTGCTTCACTGAGAGATGCGAGTCGGGCTATATAGCGGGACTAATTGGTCTCCGTTTTCTTTTCTGTCATTCAGAGTTCGCTGGCAGGAGCTGAGGCACGTGCTGCTTCTGTTCCATTACTGGGGCTGTGGTGGCAGAGGTTAGGATGGGTAGGTGCTGGTAGGCATGGAGTTAACCTCCTCAGCAGATGCAGCCTGCCTTCTTACAGAATGCCTCTGATGCCATGACAGACAGAGGTATCTCTTAGTCAAAGCAGCGCCTGAATTTAATGATTTCAGGTACTTGGGGTGATGATGATGCTTGCAGATCTGCTTGGTCATTTACAGATGTGTATCTGCTACAGTAGTTCTTGTGTCTTCAGCTGTTTGTGATTGCCGTCCTCTGTCACTGCATGGAGTTGTGTTTACACGAAGAACAGGCTCCAGAATACATGGCACATAGAATAGAATCATAGAATGCTTTGGGTTGGAAGGGACATGCATAGTATTCTCTTTGTTCTCTGCCCTTTAAGGATTTCATTCATTTTTCCTTTTTTCATAGTAACATTCAACAGTTTTGCTGTTACTTCAAAGAGCTGCCTGCTGTGGAGCTGAGGAATGGGAAGACAGCAGGCAGGCGGACTTACCATACCAGGAGCCAGGGGGATAACAATGTGTAAGCGGCGTGTTCCTTGTTAGCACTCAACTGCACAGAAAACAGCACGTGCTGGGGTAGCAGAGCCACTACATGCTTTCCGTGTTGCAGAATTGTAGAAAAATGATCCATGGGGGGCAAGAGTTGTAGAGAAAACAGTTGGCTATACAAAAAGAAAACTGTCACTTGCTTACTGTTTGCTTATGTGGGTGCGGTGCTGCAGGGGGAAGCAGTCGGAAGCAGCAGAAAGCGCTGGAGTGTAACTGCATTTACAGTAAGGTGAAGAAGTGCTAGTTGTATGTACTGCAGACATTACGTTAGTTAAGTACAGCTGAAATACCGTCACGGGGATGTGTCTGCAAGTGAACATGTGTAAAAAAATCAGAGTAAGAGATTCGCAGTCTGTAGCTTGTCTGAGCAGGTGTTAAAGGGACGATGTTTGTGGAGCCTACAGTAAAATGGCAAAAGGTGGATAGATTGCCAGGTGAGCCCTCAACATCTGAAATGTCGTCTTCCTAACCCGTGTCTCTCTCCAGCATTACGGGTGGGATTTTGGACATAGAACCTTTGAAGGAAAGGATATTTGCCCAGAGTAATGTCTGATATTTGTACCATTGAGCTAGTAAACCTCTAAGAGTCGTAACACAAACCCATATTAATCACCAGCTTTTACTTTCTTTCCAGTTCATTGGTGGAAGAATTCCGAAAGACACTCTGTGCTTTATGGCAAGGAAATCAAACTGCGTTTAGTCCAGAGTCTTTATTTTACGTTGTTTGGAAAATCATGCCAAATTTCAGGTAAGTTTTGTAGAATAAGAACAACATTCTTGATTGTGACCTTGTATTGCTGGTGTCCTACTCTAACATTTGCGAAATCAGCGGGATGTGCTCCGTGCAGCTTTCCCATAATCCCACAGATACGCTTGGAAAAGGGTCTTCACTGCGATTGACAGTTTTGTGTTTGTTGGTTGCGCTTTTTTTCCCCCTGCCCTTCTACCACATGCTCCATGTAGCAGTGTCAGAGAGGATAAACATTTCAAATACTAGAACAGTAGGGGTGGTACCTTTGAGCCAGTGCTCGAAAGGGCAGTAGGATCAAGATAATGACTGGTAGATGAGCGCCAAGTGCATGGTGTTGACGGAACCCAAGCTTGGCTGCAGTAAGAAAGTGATGTAGTCAGATTAAAAAAGGTGCAGCACCTCCAGGCCTAGATGCAAACATACTGGCTGAAACTTCCTTGATTCTCACAAAATACTGTAGTCACCAGCTGGACGTGAAGTGAGAGCTAGAAGAAAAAAATCTTGCGTATGATAGGCGTTTTGTGCCTGCACTGACAAAACAGACGATAAAAAGAAAGGGGGAAAAGAAGGTTACCCAAGTAAATAGAAGTGTTGTTCCTCTCCAAGGTCTCTCTGTCCTGGCCTCTGAACCTCTTTCAAAGGAGCACTGAAACCTATTAGGATATGTTGTGATGAAGGTAAGTTGCTCTGTGTTCTCAGGTAGTAAAGATGTTCTGTTACCTGTTACATCTCCAGCAGTGCTGAAAAGATGCTGTGAACACATCTCCCCAGAGAGTAACCCGAGTAACACCAATCTATTCATTCTGTTCTCCACACTGCCAAATGTGTTTCTCTTGGCTTATGAGAATCAAGGAAGTTTAATAGCAGTAGTTGCAAGCAGCGACCAAAACGTTAACAGGCAAGTGAACATCGTCCGTAATTCCTTGACCAGTTTCCCCATTACAGCCTTCACTGTAATTCTTGTTCATCTCACTTGTAGATGAAGTGAGAAACCAGTTCATTAAAAGTTCCTCAAGCAAATTTTCAGCACTGTGGGTTCTATCACAGCTTTTAAAAGAAAAAGTGCTGTTTGTTGGGGTTTTCCCTCTCCCCTTTTTATTCCCAGGTAGCTGGGAACATGTCCATGATGAACCGATACTAGAACTCATTAAATCACATGGAGAACAGAGTCAGCTGCTTGGCAGATCCCTGCTCCCACATGATCCAGGGAGAAAATTTGAGTTTGTTGGGCGCTTAATTGTACCTTGCAAAAGCTAATGGTGCTGCAAGTCCAGTTCTGCTGTGTGCGCTGCTTGTGAGATTGGGAGGAGGAGGTGGAGGGACACGCATGTGGAAGAAGGCTGGAGCCAGCAGCCCGTTCAGAGCAAACTGGCCACTTTGGCTTGTGCTTAGGAAGCCTGAAGTGATGGGGCCGGGGGAGGAAACGTGATCGGAAGCGGAGTTTAATTGTGTTAGCCCAAGAGGGTTTCAGTTGTTTTTCAGCACATGGTGCCTGCCCCCAAGGGTTGCAAGTGCTGTTCTTCCTGTAGGGCACAGAGAAAGCTGCTGCTGGTGCACTCTGGGGCCCGCTGCCTCGTAGTGTGTACGGGGAGCAGAGAGCACAATGTATAGTCACCGTGAGCACAGCGGAGTGCTTTGGGGCTCTCGTGCTGCCGTGGAAGCCCCGCTCCTTGACTGCTGGACCAAGTCTGCTGCTGTCACTCTGCTGTGTGCCGAGATAGCTCTGTAGCCTCATGCTGAGTTGCAGGATGTGTATTTTGCGGATTTACTGCTGTATAAATAGTATGCTCCATTTCCCTAGTAATTGCTCCTGTCTATATCCGGTAGGAAAAGAAAGATCAGAGGTGGGCTTGAATTGAATCGCTTGAGGTGGACGGAGGTCAGTTCTATTGCACAAGCTGACTATCAAAGAAACTACGCTTTTTGCTGACAGGCTTTTAGATCATCGTTTATTTTAAACAGTGCATCATCCCTATCATCCTGTTCTTTTAAAGATCTGTATCTATACTTATGCTTTTCAACAAATCCAAAGACTCTTTCATCTATAATTAACATATTTGTATGCAAGTATAAACATGTGCACCAGGAGCACAGCCAACAGCGTGGAATGATTCCAAAGGTTATTTCATCAAATCTGTTGCAGAGCGAGGGTGCCATGCACTTCACAGCTCTTATGAGGCATTTAATGTGGAAAAGGTGTCTGGAGAAAAGACATCCCATAAATTTCATCTTCTGCTGTTTATTGTGATTGCCTCTATGTTTATTAAATTGAAGATATCTGTGTTCAGTGAACTAAGCAAATCCTGTGTTACCTCAGCAGCTTCCAAATTACCCTACAGTCTGCACAGTTAACGTGCAGCTTTGAAGCTGAGTTTGCTTGGCTGCCTTGTTTCATAGCCATTATTTTGCAGCTTTGGGAGAGCAAGCCCTGGTTTTGGCTGGACAGGAAGCGCAGCCTGTTGAAATGCAGCAGAGTTGCTGTCTGCCAGTTTCTCTGTCGTAAAAGGGAGGCAGTGCTGCTGATGCTTTTCGGGGTGCTGCAAGATCTACATGCACACCCGGTGATTTCTTTTAAAGCTGCTAGTTTGGAAGAAAACATTATTGTAATTCTACAGGATGAAAAGGCTTTATTTAGTTTTGCTTTTGTTACCTCCTAGCTTTTGTAGGACGTACTTGTGTCCTTCACTAAGCACATCAGCCTCACATTGCATACTTGTGTTGCACCGAGCCTGTTCTCTTTTCTCCCCAGCTCTGGGTGCTGTGCCATAAGTCTTACAGACATTTTCCTTCCCCTGAGCAGTAACACCAAAAACGTCTCTGTTGTTCTCTCCCTGACATTCCTGTGTGACAGTTGCTGCTGATCCTAATGTGGAACAGTGAGGAGGAGAAGGGGCAGGGGAGGCGTGATAAAGCAGCTGAAAAGAATGGACAAGAGGAAGAGGGAAAGCCAACTCTGCTATGTAGGGATTTTTGTAATGAGGCCTACAAAGACTTGCACATAATTATGTCAGCATTGCACAAAGCTTTCACTGTTCCACTGCGTATGCTTTCTGACTTCATCTCGGTATACAACTTACGGCAAATGAACAGCAGTTGTTTGTTAAATTTGATGCATGATTTAGCTTAAATAACTTTGGAGGCATATTTTACCCTGATGGCTTCTCTATGTCCTTCGAGGAGGTTTGTTAGTGGTGAAATAATAATGGCGATGCTTTGAGCAGCATTGCTGCTGATGGCATGCCCTGTCTGTGACTGGAGCCCTCTCCTGCCAAATGCAAATGCTCGAGAGGTGCTCTGGGTACCCCACCATGACCTTCCTCTCCCTGCAAACGGGCTGTGGGCTGTGCAGGGAAGGTGTGCAGTTCTGAGCGTGGCTGCAGATCTTGCCCTAGAAGAGGGAAGAAATTGCTCTTTCATCCTAATTGTTTCAGACTTCGTATTGTTGCTGAAGGATGCATGTAGAAGACAAACCCAAAGATTAAATCCTGGCTTTGGTGGGGAGGGGAGCAAACAGGCAAGCAAACACCTGGAACTGCCAAAGTGAGTGGGATCAGTGGCTGAATGCCGCAGAAAGCCGCACTCCGATTCCCACGTGAACAGCATGTTTCGTGTTGTCTTTTGAATCTTACCAGGTTTGAGACGTCAATATAGGGTCCGTAATTTGTAGTAGTTTCAAAGTAGGGATGAATAGTGTCAGTCAGTGAACCTGATACCTAACAGTTGTGGAGGTACTAATCAAATACAGTCAGTAACAAAGAAAAAGGAGAAATGCTTTGCGTGAGTGAGGGGAAGTCACTGCTACCATTGTGTATTTTGAATTAACATGTATATGGGTCCTAGGATGTTACTAGCACAGACTGACTTTGGTGCGGCCAATTCGCATTAACCAAATACATTACTGAGCAAATGTTACGTCTCTGCTGCTCCTCGTTTTATTCTAAAAGGTCTCTTCCTATCTTAAATGTTTCTACATCCTAAAAAAAGAGTCCTGCCGAGAGAGGCCCAAAATCAAAATCACGTAGTTTGTCACGGCGTAGCTGTACATTTCAAGGGCTTCTTGAAAGACTGTTTTGGGACAAAATATCTGTGTCTCTGTAAAGCCTGCTCAGTAGTGTTAAACAAGCAAAGGCTCTTTCCTGTGGCCCTGGTGCTCTCTGTGTGTCTGCACTAAAGCAACCAGTATGTTTGGTGATTTTGTTGCTGTTGTTTCCTTTTCTCTTAAGGGGATACCAGCAACAAGATGCCCACGAGTTCATGCGTTACCTGCTAGACCATCTACACCTGGAACTCCAGGGCGGCTTCAACGGTGTTTCACGTTCAGTCATTTTGCAAGAAAATTCTGGTCTGTCTGCAAGCAACAAATGTTGTGTGTAAGAAGAGGTTTTTTTAATTTCTTCAAAACCCTGATGCCTTTGTATGGATCTGTGTGTGGTGGATCTGAAAGTTCCAGTTCTGGTTCCTTGTTTTAGTTCTCTGTAGTGCCTTTGTAATGTTACAGATCACAAGGCAGCAGGATTATCATCCTATGGGACGTGCTTCCTTTCAAAAGGGATCAGCGTTTTTCGTAGGTGTGAGCGAGCGCACAGGCTAAGTTGTAAACAGATTTTAATTTATTCATCATTCGGAAATAAAAAGAAAAGAACTCTGTATTTTCTGTTCTATACCCATACGGAATTCTTTGTTCAGGCAGTCTCATCGTCCTTCGGTGACAGATGGACTGAATGATACAGGAGCAAAAAAGATGGCCAGGTATTTGTAGGTTTGTTAGCAGACCTACTGGATTAGCCAGTGAGCAATGCAGCTACAGTTTGAAGTGACTTTTCCTGCAGATGATCTTGCTGTGTTTGCATGTCACTTGACACAGCTAATGCTGTTGCTTTTTTTTTTTTTGGCCTAGTAGTTTTGGTTTTCATGTTACCGTGTGTCTTGAAGCAGAGGTAATCCACGTGTTTCGCTCCTCTTTCTGTACTTCCCAAAATGCTGTTGTTCTGAATTCTGTCCCAGGCGTGTTTTCTCTCAGGCTGAAACTGTCACAGAGACAAAACATTTTCACTTGCTTCAGGAAGGAATGTTCAGTCAGTTCAGCCCTGCACATTTGGTCCCCAAGTCCCTGGATTCCCCGTGTGAGAGCTGAGCGAGTTTTCCCTTCCTGTGCCCATCAGGCCACAGTACGCAGGTCTGGGAGATGCAGGTTGTTACAGGTGCTTGGCTGGGGAAAGCCTGGAGTGCAGCCTGTGCTCTTTACTACATTTATGTTGCTTTGCTGAGGCTTAAAAATCCCACAAAAGAATCCTAAAATGTTCTGAGACTTGAAGTATATTTGAAAACTAAACCAATTTTGTTACATCAACATTTTGAACGTCAAAACCCAAGGAGAATTTCAGCTTCATTCACATACCTACTGTAAACTTGTCTTGAGAATGGCTGTTCAAATGCCTGGTGAGCAAGCTGCCTTCTGTCGAGGGCAAATTAAGGTCACATACACTTAAATGCCTACAGTGTAGTCATAAATACGCTGTGAGTGCCGGGTCACTTGGGTAGCCATTTCCTGCTGCTCCTTGCGCAGTGTTGGAGTTGAGTGTACAGGTGTAGGTGGAGTGCAGGTAAGGAACGTAGGGCTCTGCAGGCTTGTGGTGTCAGACCTGCAAGCACAAACTAGTACAAGTTTAGAAGTTGTATAATGATACAACTTTTTAAAATGCGGGGGGTTTTATTTGATAATGAGTACATCATCTGCTAAAATATTAAGAGAGTAATGAAAGCATAGAGAATGATGATGCATATTGTTTATCATATCTTAATGCAACTTATGCGGTCGTTGGCAGTGAAGTGCAGAAATACGCTTTAAGCAGTCAAAATTACTTGTAACAAAGGGTATAGAATTAAAACAAAAATATGTTCAACCTACCTAAGAGGGAAGAATTTTTGTTTCAGCAACAGCCTTAGCTACAGGGTTAAACTACTGTGCCCCTGGGAGCATCAGCTCTCCACTGCAGTCAGCTGGGATACCTCCAACACTGACATTTTGGAGCATCGGCTGAGGCCATATGCTATTCACGCTTTCTTCAGGTACCAGATAAAGCAAAAGTATTTATAGCAGCTGAATGCTTACGCTGTACAGCTCTAGGGTGAGAGGCATGCCCGGTGGGTGGCCTCGGCCACTGTTTGTTACACACGGACAGAACCGCAAAAAACCGCTCTGCCTAGTAGCGGTGAGGTGTAAGTGGCAAACGTGTAAAACAGGTATTGAAAATTAAGCTCAGGTATTCTGACTGACTTTGCATCTCTGATGTGGTTTGTCTAGAAATGGAGCGTCTACTGTGGTCACAGCAATTTTTGGAGGCATCCTTCAAAATGAAGTCAACTGCCTAATATGCGGGACTGAATCTAGAAAGTTTGACCCATTCCTAGGTAAGGTGCCTCTTGCTTTCAAAACACAGGGTGACTTAAGGCAGAAGAACAAATCTGAAGCTTGATGTGTTTAGCTGTCACGTGACTGAACCAGAGCTTCAGCCTGAAAACATTAGGCATTGTTTTAGTCAGCCGTAAATTTTTTTTCAATCTTTGTTTTTTTTAGACCTTTCACTGGATATTCCAAATCAGTTCAGAAATAAACGTACTAAAAATCAAGAAAGTGGACCAATGTGCACACTACGAGGTAAGAGCGCTTGGATAACGAAATCATTACCAGGACTAAGAGTATATAATACTCTTCAGAGCAGCTGTTTCAGAGGAGCCAGGCTTTCACCTAGGTTGTGACTTGGTGCCACACGCTGTCTAATTTTATAAGATTCTGTGGTGCCAAATTAATTTCCATGGGGTTTTACCCAGTCACTCTGTGCTTCGCAGGACGTGCCCCTTGTGCATAGTAAGGATGGCTCTTGGGCGTTCTGCTTTTACACAACATAAATACAATCCTGCAGATTTGAGCAGTAGTGCTGTTACTGACCTTGTTTTAAAGAATGTCAATTTTTACAGTATTTGTCAATACACTTGCTGCCAACTGTGGAATGTTAATCAAAGCCTCAGTATTTTCTCCGTTCACTTTGTACCTAAACCAAAATCACCTTTGAAAGTTGAATACTCTTTGTTAGAAAGTCATTTGATTTCTTTTGAAGAGTTGGATGGAATTGTGTTTGAAAGATGGAGATTTTGTGAATGCCTTTTTTTTTTTTCTCTTGAACTGCTCATAGCTGTGTTTTAAGGGACAGGGAATGCTGTGTGTTACAATATGTCACTGTATTAAACCACACTATTACTTCTTGGTGCCCAATGGTATAGAAGAACTGCAGTGACTGCAGCAGACAGGCGTCCCACCTCTGCAGGGCTGTATTTGTTGCATTTCATGTTACAGACACCACTTGATGTCAGCTTGAATCAGGTTTGTGTAGGTGTTTTGTTTTTTTTGTCTTGTTCTTTTTTAGACTGTCTTCGCAGTTTTACAGACCTGGAAGAACTTGATGAGACAGAGCTCTATATGTGTCACAAATGCAAAAAGAAACAGAAGTCCACCAAAAAATTCTGGATTCAGAAACTACCAAAGGTGTGTGTAAGCATGGAAAGTAACCATGTGACAGTATGTCAAAGGAAGTAACAGCTGGACCGTTAGCAGACCCGCACCTCCCAGAGACTGGGGCAGGTGCACTAAGCTCAGCCTCTTCCTCTAATGTTTGGGGTTTAACTCCTGTAGGTGCTATGCTTACACTTGAAGCGATTTCACTGGACGGCATATCTGAGAAACAAGGTTGATACTTACGTGGAGTTTCCCTTACGAGGCCTAGACATGAAATGCTACTTGTTAGAGGTATGAAGGCGCACTGATACTTTCTGTAGACGTTTCTCCCATAACATGTGTCTGTATTACAAATTGGAGTAGGTGCTATTGAGATCTGATGAGTTTTCTGTTGTCTTAACCGCAGCCCGAGAACAGCGGCCCCGAAAGCTGCCTGTACGACCTCGTGGCTGTTGTGGTGCATCATGGTTCAGGGTGAGTACATGGAGTAAGCCGCCTGCTTGGCAGAGACCTGCTCCCCCCCAAAGGTTTAGTTAAGGTTTTTCTGTCCCTAGTGAATGTCGGTATTTTTACTGGTGGAAATAAGCAGTAATTTATAAACTTAGGTGGAACGAAGCTGAATTAGCTTCAGACAGATCTATAGAGTTATCTCTGGGAATGCCCACTGGCAGTCTGTGGGGTAATGACCACACACGTGGGACAGAAGGAACACTGCCTGGTTCCTCCAGGAAGGGAAAGCCCTAAAGCACCAGAGTGTGAAGCAAGGAGCCTTCCAGAGTTAATGCCTCATTTTGGAATTCTTTGTAGAAAGCAGAACTATTTTTTCCTCTTTTACTCAGTTTGAAAGGTACATGTGCATGTTTGGAACATTTTTCTTTTTGGTATTCTGGGATTAGTGGTGCTGTAAGTGCTTCTGATTGTGCTCAGACTCTGTGAGTCTCTCTCGATGCAAATGGGGAAGGTTTCTCAATGCAGAGCACAGTGAATTTTTTCTAGCTCATGCCTGAATGGTAACAGATAACGGACTTGATTTTTATGTAGGCAAACGTGGAAGTTGAGTGTTGCAAGAAGCCTTGCTTGCACAAAAACTATGGGATGCTAGTGAGGTCATACCAAAAGCCTTTCGACTCATCCCAGTGAGTGATGGTTTTACTTACCATAAACTGTAATTTGGAGACCTTTGAGCCCTGCAGATTAAGAAGGGAAGCATCTTACCAGCTGCTGTGGCGGGCTGTTGGTTCCTTGCTTCCTCTGCTTCCTGGACGTCTCTTAGCCCTGACAGAACAGGCATCAGAGCGCGAGGTGGTCTGTCTCCTTCTGATTGTCCTTTCTTTTCCCGCCCCCGGTGACAGCGTGGGCTCTGGACATTACACCGCATACGCAGCTCATGAAGGCCGTTGGTTCCATTTCAACGACAGTACTGTAACTTTGACCGACGAGGAGACTGTGGTAAAGGCCAAGGCCTACATCCTCTTCTACGTGGAACGGCAAGCCAAATCCGGATCAGATAAACTTTAATACCTCCTTCCAATTCTCACTTACCAAGTCCACCGGACAAAACATTTCCATTTTTCCGTAAATACTTGATCCAAGACTATTAATTTCATTGTGCACTTTTCAATTTCCTCTTGTGGGTTTTAGTTTTCTTGTGTCAATGGTAGCGTTTGACTTAATGAACTTGGACACAAACTAACTTTTTTTTTAGTTATACCAGAAAACCTCAGCAGATTTTGATTTGCTGCTTTAGTTGTGATAACTCAATTTTTATATATATAGTTTCCTGAAATACTTAGTTATTTGACTTTTTTATATTAATGTTTTCAGTTCTCACTTTCTAAAGGCACATTTACATCAGAGAAGCTTTCTGTCCTCCTTACAAGCAAGATAAATGTGCTTCTCATTATGAAGAGCAATACAACTTCATGCTGGTCTCACAGCTGTTATGTAGATACGATTTAACCTCTTTAAATCAAGGAAGTTTTCACATGTACTATTTTCCCTCCTGCAAGAAACTAAACAGTGACCTCTGAACAATCATTCTTTGTCTGCAGAAGAGAGGAGATGTGGCATCATTAAATAGACCAGGTAATTGCTGCTATAATGGTGTGTATTGAGGCTGCTGACTTTCAGGAATCATTGTAAATAAACAGTTGGTTCAATTGTATCTATACTGCAGTTTAATTCAAGTATTCCTCACATAAGCTCTGCCCCCCCCATCCCTGAAATTTAAAAAATTAGCTTAAAAATATATATGTCTAAATTGTGTTTATGGTTTTTAAACTGAACCTGAATTGCTGTAGACAGCTCTTGGTTTAGACTGTCATCCTGAAATTCGATCATAAACACTTGCTGGAAACCTTGGAGCCGTCCTGGCAGCGGGACCCCAGCCTCCTTCCTGGTGGGAACTGGAGTAAGCAGCCCCAGACTTTGGGGGTTGCAAGAACAGTGTTGGGTCTAAATACAGCTCCTGTCCACTAAACACCTGCAGTGCCCTTAGAACTGAAAGAGAGCAGGTGTGTTCAGACGCTTTGCATGACGATCGTTTTACCAGCGCGGATGCAAACTAACAGGAAGATGCTGTTTCACAGCAGAGCCGGCCTGATGGGAGACCATGCGCTAGGACAGCTTGATGCCAGGAGCAGACCCGGGTGTCTGCAGTATTTACGTACCCGCCCAGGGTGGGATCTTTATTACAGTCTCTAGACAAATGCTGGAGGCACGACGCATGTCTGAAACTTGGCTAGATAAAGAAGGCAGACTTCTGTTAAAAAAACCCTGAATTTTAACTGCACTGCCAAGCTGGAGAGTGGAAGTTAGCTAATTAGATTTTAAAAAGGTGGGCAAGAAAACCAGCATTGCAAAAGCCAGGAGTCCCAAAATACCTGAAAGTTGACAAATGTTACCTTTCAGTTCTCCTCCCCCAGCCCCTCCTTTATAGCTAGCCCCCATGTGCCCAGCAAGGCACTGGACACTCTTAAATTAAATCTCCAGTGCGTGGTAGTAAGAGTAGAATTCACTTCACGTAGAGTCACACAATCAAACGGCGCCTTTTAGTTGTGATAAAATGCAGTAGTCTGAAAACACACAAGAACTCGAGTCCAATGTGATCACCCTTTTTAGCTAATGCTTCTGAAAGACACCGTAGTACACAGTACCGCTTTCCCTACAGAGCGCACCATAGCTGTGCCTGGGGACTGTGGAGTCGGCAGTCCTCCCCTGGCTGTGGGTTACCTGCTAGCTGTGCGTGGATAAGTGTAAAGAGAAATCACAAGCAGACGGGCTTTTTAAATGTCATTCTTCATAGCTTTTTCACAGCATCTTAAACCAGGAAAGAAAGAAATTGGCTTAATTAAATAAAACAGCAGAGAGCATTCAGCATTGCCAATGGTGTATGAATATGTAAACTGTAATTAGTTAAAACCTATTGTGATTATTATTTGATACATTGTGACATACATAACAATGTCTTCTTTTACTTCAGTTGAACAATAAATAGAACTATTCATTGCTTTAAGTTGTAGATAGTTTGTCACCACCCATTTCTCTGTTTCTTGCAGCCAGAGCCTTTCTTCTAACTGCAATAGGTAGCTGTTACCAGTTTCACAGGCAGAAACGGTATCTGACTGACCCGACCAGTGTGCGGGGCAAGGGAAGACCTGTACCTCATCGTCACGCTGGAGGGCCAGCCTTGCCGCTCACCGTTAGTGGGGGGTTAGGCGATGCCATCTGTAGCTGCATTTTGGCTGCACGCTGCTTTAGAGTGGATTGCTTTAGAATTCAGGTTTGAGACTACAGAGCTTAAAACGCACAACTAGCTGTGGGCCAGAAGCAGTTTTTACCTGAGTCAGGTGCGTGCAGTGTCCTCACAAACCAGTGATGTAAATGTGCCTTTTTGCTTTTTTAGAAAATTTGTTAGCCTCAGCAACATTCACTTACTTTAAGCAGCTTCTACTGCTCCAGTTAATTTTTTGGGTCAGAGCTACATTCTCACTTCAGGATCTCCTTTCAGTAACGTTTGCTCTGTAACACTGAGGTCTTGGGCACGGCCCATTTGCTGTGGCACAGCGTGCAGTTGGGTGGCTCTTGTTGCTGCAGCAGGCGGTGAGGAGGACTCAGCCATACGCTTTGCTGGGACAAGGACGCTGTCAATCCCTGCCTAATTTAATGTCCTCCCACTGCAAACCCAGACGGACAGTACGAACAGTTTGTTGTGGCAACACAAGTATTTCTCTTCCTGGTGGAGAACTTTGCTTATCCACTGTATTCTAGTCAGTGTGGTGTCAAAAAAAAAAAAAAGAAAAATAGTAACTGAACACTGAACCAGTAACATATACGGCAGCTGGCCTAGTATTACATTTTTAACCTTACTTGTATATCCTATATTTATCTACTAGCTGAGGGGAGGGGGGGATATCTTGTTTCATTTAAGCCAAATGTTTCTTTTCTACTTTCTGCTGATCATAGCACACACTAACTAGCAAGAATTTTTTCTTGCTTGTGATTGCTCTGCAAGCAACAGCTGCTTTACAGTTTAGACTTGAGTATTTTTCACCAAAATTTGTCTGATCAGAGGTTGTGCTTCTGTTAGTAATTGTTTAGCCACGTATACAACTGGAGGCAAGATGTACGTGAGACAAAGCTGCAGCATGTCCAGCTCTCGAAGTACTTCTGCCTCCGCCTGTGGCACAGCGAGCTGCGCGTGCAGCACTGTGCGAAACTCTTAAGGCGCTTACGGACAGAGCTCTCCTCGCGGTACTGTCGGAAGGCGCTTTCCAGGTGGTAGCAGAGGAGACCTGCAGACAGGCAGGACCGTGCGCTTGTCTCAAAAGCAAGGCGGCCAGATGTGAGGATTTTGCTAAATCGATGGAAAGCGGAACATGTGGTGTTCAAAAGTCTCCCCACCAGTGTTTCATTACTGATGTGTCTGTGTCTTACTGATGAGGTAATCAGCACCCTGAAAATGGACTCCTATGTGCTTTAGGATATCCTCAGGTACTGTAGTGCCATAGTTGTAATTGTTTACCATTAACATCTAGTGTGTAATTCTCAGTGAGCATTACTGACTGTGCTCATCGCGTGTGCTCCTGGAGCATTTCCAGGCTGAATGTGAATTACCTCACTCAGTGTGTTTATGGAAAATGTGCCATTAAAGTGTCTCCTTTCCTTAGAAAATGAAACTCCTCTTGTCCTTCTGCAGGCTTGCAGAACATCATTAGCATAAGGCAGTCCTTAGAGCACGGATGGCAGACTATTTTAACTGAGGAAAACAAAATAAAGCAAATTGAAGTTCCCACTATTAACCATCTCTACCAAACTTCGCCATCTAAACCCAAAGAGGACTTCCCATTCAATTTGAAAGGGCCTTGTCACATCCGATCATGGTGCGTGGCCTCTGGGTGGTTCCAGAGTCCATCCTAGCAATGGCAACCTTGTCATTCAAGTTTGCTTGTGTGTGGTTTTTTTAAAGTATAATACTCATTACAACTCTGAGCAGTCTCATCTATTTAAACTGCTCAAAAATGAAGGGAAGTTCTGAAAAGGCTGAAGGGCCAGAGAGAGAGCTGACCACCCACCACCAGTATGAGAGCAGACAGCCGCCGGCACGCCGTGTAAGCTGCTGCTGCCCAGTGACTGGTTTACCTGGCCCATGAAATCATCTGCCCCCTCCTTGGCCCCTTCGTGGCTTCACAGAGTTGTTCTTCCAAGGCAGTCATTGAATGACAAAGGATATAGAATCAAGAAGGCTGACAATTGGTTAATGTGTATCATAGAAAATTACTAACTTTAAAGAATTAACAAATGGCAATGGTGGATCTGCTTGAGTTACTGTGTGTAAGCATAGACATTACTCAAGCACAGTAAGAAGCCACAGCAATTGTTGCAGACTGCAAACGAGTTTCAGATCTTGTTTTTCAGAGTTGAATTTCAAACTGCATTCTCAGGGTATAATGAACCTGGGTCTCACTCAACCCTGTCATATTGGAACAAATGCAATTAAAATGCACAGGTACATCCAGTCTCCAGCTACTGAAAATGTTCAAGCCCCCCCAAAAAGTCCTGCAGGGCTGTTTTGCTGTTAATGGCTATGAATCAGCTGAATGCAGCACTGTCCTATATCAACACCTGACAGAATATGGGCATTAACTACCTTAACGTCAAGCATTTTTATTTCACAAACAATGAAAGTTACAGGGCTGTTCATTGTTGCTTTTAATTCTAACCTGCCATTTGCTGTAGCTTTATTTTTCTTCTAGGACAGACTTTTCTACTGCAGTTTCTCCCTTTACTGGGAAACAAACATCTTTATTCTTAAAAACTATTCTATCTATCCTTTTCCCACCAAAACTGCCAAGTCTATGGTAACAGAACTAGACCTTCAAAAACACGACCACCACGAGAGAACTTGTAAAACCCAAGATAATGGAAGACACCTATTAAAAGCAGCCTACAAGCAGCTAAAACACAGACCTGCCGGTCTCCTGCACGTCGTGACTGTCCTCACGCAGAAGGTCACTAGCTCTGTTCCCGTAACAGTGTGCAGGAGGCTGCCGCCGAGTCTGAGGCCTGTCCGCTGAAGCCGCAGGCTCTGCACGTGCGTGTGTGCTTTAAAGCACCCAGGGAGTTTAATTTTTCAATTCATTTTACAAGCTGTTTGTGAAAGTTCATTAGTCAGTATAACTGTCCTTGAACATGATGCAAAAGTGCAACCTTATAAAAATCCGTGAATGAATGAGGCTGAAATTGTTGTACTCCGCTGGCTGCGAGGCTGGCAGAGCTGCTCCCCGCCCCATCCCCCCTTCCGTAACTCCACACGAGAACTTTGCCAACCTTCCGGAGCAGTGCCTGGAAGGAAGGCAGCCCTTTTAAGGAAGCACTTCCCGACAGTCCAGTGCCGCTGTTCTGCATGCCTGTTTCATGCCCCTGTAGAAACAGACCAAGTGTTTCATGCCTGCACGTCTCTTTTCTGTTCCCTGTTCTTAGCTTCTGCCCCAGCTGTTGGCCAAAAATAAACACCATTCCACAGCCATATATGTGCAACAGCCCTGTGGTGATT